CCAGGCCCAGAGTTCAAGCCCCACAATAACAACAAAAAGACTCCATGAAAGGTCCCCACATTATGTTGCTGAGCTGCGTAACAACTCTGCATTTCCCCCTTATGCAGCTAAAGAGACTCTATTTGGTCGAAAATATAGCCTTTATGTCACATTGATTTGGTTGTTAAAACCACACTGTCAGTAGCCAATACCTATCACTTTTGGCTCTTCTCCACACACCACCATCTGGCACAGCAAAATATTTTTATCTTATTTTTTTGTTCCATTTTATTGTTCTTAGTTTCTTGGCATCTGTAAATGTCTTTTTCTGTCAGATATGTGTTTAGCTTAACTTCTTCCAGAAGGGGCCTTGTGAACATTCATGTCAAAATTATCCTTTACTTTTCTATTTAATAAATGATTTTGTCCAACTTCTTTTCTTTCTTGATTTCATTTTCCCTTTTTTTGCCACAGTGAGATTATCTTCTACAGAGGTATGTTACAAGACGGTTAGAATTTACCTGGATACTGCTTTTGAAATTTTCTTAGCCAAAGTGAATGTATTGAAGGATTACTTTTGCTGTGCTGAGGATGGTGGGTCTTAACACCTTCAGCATGGGTTGAAACACTGGGCAAAGGACTATTTTAGTCAAATGTACTTCTAAGGTATTTTTTCTATGTTAGCAGCAACAGCACATTTTATCTAGCAAGCTCCAAGTTTGGCAGGTTTCATTTTTTTTTATTTTTAATTTAATTTTTCTGAACTTCAGAAGAACATTACAATTTAACATGTCCATCTAAGTGTCCACTGCTTTCTGTTCAGGGTCACTCCTTCTATCATTCTCCTCTAGTCTGTTTGTTCTCTTCCCCTAGACTCAGTTCACATTTCCTTTATCACATAGTAACCTTGGGAATTCTTGTTGTATTTGTCCAATGTTAATTGTTTTCAATGGTTAAGGCAGGGTGTCACTATATAGCCCAGGAATATACAACAACACCCAAGAACTACAGTGGTGTTTTAATGATAATAAAGGAGAACCAAGTTTTAAATCAGATGGTGCATTTCTGAATCCAGTGCCTTTAAAATTGAATCCCTATATACAAACCCCCCCAGGTCTGTGAAGAGTCCAGCATTGCATCCGGTGTCCCCAATGCCCAAGTGCTTGAATATTGCCCTGGAAGGTTATCAATGGTTGCCCCTGGTGGCAGACATTTGCTCATTTTGAATCCAAGATGAGTGGCACTTGTGTGCATCCAGGCTCAAATAACAAGTCTGCCATCGGAACAAAGCAACCATGAATGATAGATAAGGAGCAAGTGTGACTTTTGAAAACAAACTTTCTAGTGGGTTGACTAGTTGTCTGTGACTGTGACTGTTCTGGTTTTCTATCCTTCTAGCTACCTGCTGGGTGAAGCTAAGAGCCCTTGGGACCAAAATCCATACAAGTGTGATTGCAAGGAAGGGCCCAATGGTCTGTGGTCTGCAGATACCATTTCTTTAGGCTGCATTCCAGGTGAGATCAAGTGTCCTTTATTGAGTCCTGTCCAACCTGGCTGAATTAACGCTGTGAATGGTTGGCTCTGGCTTTTCAACAGCTAGCTTCTGAGCTTCAAATCTCACTGGCCACTGCTCCAGCCGACTGTTCTAATGCCATTGTTCAGAACCAACTTATTAGATCTCTACCAGGCCTAGTTGAGGTGCTTAGAGGGGACTCAGCAGCCAAGGAACTGGAAGAGTACAACCACTGAAAATTAAGTCAATGATAGGCAGTATGGAGCTTTGAAAAGAGCATGGGCTCCAGGGCCAGAAAACCCAGAGCTGGCATTCCAGTTGCATCACTTCTGGAATGCGGCTTGGTTCTTTTTCTGCCCAGTGGAGGATAGCAAGATGCACACCACACAGCCATGTGCTTCTCCCACACAAGCAGAAGCAGCCCAAGCCAAGCAGGTCTCTTCCCAAGCAAGATACTGAAAGGCCAGCTCTCAGCTCTGGGCTCTCCCTTTTCCTATCATGAAGCCAGCTGCTGACACAGCAGCTTCTGCTTCAGCTTAGTCCCTCGATGATTAAGTGGAGTACAACCACCTTGGCTAAGAAAACTTCCAAAGCTTTATCTGTGTGAATTCTAGTCTTCTTGCTATAACATTCCTCTACAGATGATCATTCTACTGTGGCTAAGCAAAAGAACAGCCAGGGAAAATGAAATCAAGAAAAAGAAAGAGAAGTGTGACAAAATCATTTCATTACATGGAAAATTGTAACATGAATGTTAACAGGGGTCCTTCCAGAAGAAGTCAAGCTGATGCTGAGAAACTAGAAAGAAAAAGAGAGAAGGAGACCCTAGAAAATCAGCACACAGACATACAGAGCTGGCAAGGAAGCCTGCAGGTGCACACTGGTTGTCAATACCAGTGTCCACACCCACAGAACAGAAGGTGAGGTGCATTATAGCCTTCCAAGGTTTGGTGAAAGCTATTAAAATGCTAATATTGTCAGTTCCATAGCTGAGCCAAGATTAGCCTGGCCCTCTGACAGTAGGTCATAGGGTAGGAGGGAATTTAAAGGTGTAAGAAATACAATCATTTGGTAATGCTTCAATTAATTCTGATTTTATACTGTTTTACATTCAAGTGTATAATCTGTCATATATTTAAGTCTAATATATGCATATATATAGCAATATTTATAACTTATGGAATCACTTTGTCAAGGATGACCTCAAGCCAGGCATTGGGGGCTCACACCTCTAATCCTAGCTATTCAGGGGGCTGAGATCTGAGCATGGAGGTTCAAAGCCAGTGTGGGCATGAAAGACTGTGAGCCACTTATCTCCAACTAACTATCAAAAAAGCCAGAAGTGGTACTGTCGCTCAAATAATAGAGCACTAGCTTTGAGTAAAAAAAACTCAGGGACAGTGCCCAGACCCTGAGTTCAAGCCTCAGGACTGGCACACATGCACACATGCACATAACTGCACACGTGTGCACGTGCACATGTGTGTGCACACCCACCCACACCCACACACAAAATAGGGAGTATATGATGGTTAAGGGAAACTTTGCTTTCTGACTTGTGGCCTGTGTCCCCACTTCCAGGGTTTAAGGCCTGTCTTCCATACTGGAGAGAAGTTGGGGGCCTAAGCCACTCATGAGTTCACTGCCCTCAGAATCCATCAGCTCACGAAACACTTTTCTTGATGGCCAAGGTTTTCAAAGTACACACTGAAAGTATGCTTTTTAAAGACACACCAGTCTGGGAATAGACTGCTGAAATACACATCTTTTCATTAAGTGGGTTTGAACTCAGGACCTTGGGCATGTTCTCCTGTTTATTTTTCAGGTAGGGTCTTATACTTTTTTCCCTGGAGCTGGCTTCAGGCTCCTCTCTTCCCAATCGCAGCCTCCAAAGTCACTTGCATAAACCACCACTCCTGGCCTGAAGACACCATAATTAACAATCTCCTCTGATCATCTGGCCAAACTAGGCATGATTGAGTAGTCATAAAGGGCTGCTCTCTTCTCTTCCAGGTATTGATATGATTTTCAAATTCTCAAGTGTGATGGAACTTGATAAATTACAAATATTGTCCCATTCTACTAGCCACAGGAGCTACAAATACTTCAGTGCATTATGGAAGAAAGCTGAGCCCTTCTGACCCTGGGGCATAGCTCTGTCCTTCAAGCTTCTGGACCAGAGCATGAGTATCTCTCAGTGTTCTGGAGCCTCGGCATGATGGCCAAGAATGATGGCCAAATTCTTTTTATTTTTAGGGTGGTTGTGGGGCTTGAATTCTGGGCTTGGGCGCTGTCCCTCAGCTCTTCAGCTCAAGGCAAGCACTCTACCACTTGAGCCACAGTGCCACTTCTGGAGTGGTTTATTGGGGATAAGAGTATCAGGGACTTTCCTGCCTGAGCTGGCTTTGAACTGTGATCCTCAGATCTCAGCCTCCTGAGTAGCTAGGATTACAAGTGTGAGCCACTGGCACCTGTGTGTGTGTGAGAGAGAGAGAGAGAGAGAGAGAGAGAGAGAGGGGGGGGGGGGGGGTATGTGTTCTGGGACTGGGAGTTGAACTCAGCCTGGGTGCTATCCTTTAGCTCTTTTGCTCAAATTGGTGCTACCACTTGAGCCACAGTTCCACTTCAGCCTTTGGTGGTTAATTGGAGATAAGAATCTTATGAAGATGGCGTTGGTGGCTCATGCCTGTAATCCTAGCTACTCAGGAGGCTGAGAACTAAGGATGGCCATTCAAAGCCAGCCCATGCAGGAAACTCCATCAGACTCTTATCTCCAATAAACCACTCTGAAAACCAGAAGTGGCACTGTGGCTCAAGAGGTAGAGCGCCAGCCTTGAGCTGAAGAGCTGAGGGGCAGCGCCCAGGCCCAGATTTCAAGCCCCATGACCGACAAAAAAAAAATCTTATGGATATTCTACCCATGCCAGTTTGAAAAGGCAATCCTCAGATCTCAGCCTTTTCTTGAGAAGCTAGGATTACAGGTGTGAGCCAACTCGCTGGTCTCCTTCTAAATCTTAAATGTTTATAAGCCCTCTTTCTGAGAGTCTACAGGGTGCATTCTTCACCTCAAGAATTAGCATATGTTTTGTGGCAGAATGCATTCTTTCCTGGAAAGGATACCCAAACAACAGCCAGGAACTCAGAAAATATGACACTAAGAGTGATTAAGAACAAAGATAAACACCTATCTTTGCATAACTTTAAGTCAGACCCCCTGCCTTTACCATATAAATACTCCTGCTCTGTGGCCCAGAGTTCAAGCCCCACAACTGACAAAAAAGTCTGTGCCTCTGCCTTTCTGCTTCTTAGTTTTCTTGCTTACTCAATAAAGCTCTGTCAAGTTTTTCTGCCATTATGACTTGTCCAGAAATTCTTATTTTGTGATTGGAGTCAAGGACTTTAGGTGGAGTCCTTACTTTTCTTTTTTGTCGGTCGGTCATAGGGCTTGAACTCTGGGCCTGGGCGCTGTCCCTAAGCTCTTCAGCTCAAGGCGAGCACTCTACCCCTGGAGCCACAGCACCACTTCTGGGTTTCTGGTTGTTTATTGGAGATAAGAATCTCACAAACTTTCCTGCCCAGGCTGGCTTTGATCCTCGATCCTCAGATCTCAGCCTCCTGAGTAGTTAGGATTACAGGCGTGAGCCACCAACACCCGGCGAGTCCATACTTCTAAAGAGAGATTTCATAAACCTTCACCTGGACCTGGTAACTACTTGACTCTCAATCAGGAGTGAAAGCAGAAAGTATTCTAGAAATACATATCATTTCAATTATACCACTGTACTTTCCTCTAGGACTTATACGATAGTATCATTGAAGTAAGCGATGTCTCCAGTGTTTCATTAGTTGAGCCCTTTCCTTCTATTTCTATACTTCTCTTTTAAGTTCCACTGTGGTTTGAACTGAGGGTTTCCCACTTGTTAGGCAGGCACTTCACAAGAACTTGACTTCAGCCACTGTGTTTGCACTGGTTATTTTGAGACAGGGTCTGGCCCCACCCATGCATTTTATGCTTCCCGCCATAACAGGGAAGAAAGCAAGTTGTCTCCACACCCAGCTACTGGTTGTACTGGAATCTTGGGAATTTTTGCCTGGGCTAGCAAGATCCTCCAGTGCTCAGCCTTCTATCTAAGTAAGATACGATTATAGGTATGAATCATGACCATCTGAAATTTTGGTTAAGCTTGATAGGTAGGCAAACTTCAGATGGTTCAGAGTATAATCTTGAAAATGTGAGTTCTAGATCAAAGGTGTGCAACTGTCACTTTTTTTTTTTGTGGGTCGTGAGGCTTGAGCTCTAGGCCTGGGTGCTGTCTCTGAGCTCTTCAGCTCAAGGCCAGTGCTCTATCACTTGAACCTCAGTGCCACTTCTGGTTTTCTGGTGGTTAATTGGAGATAAGAGTATTAAGGACTTAACTGCCCAAGCACCCAGGTCGTCAGATCTCAGCCTCCTGAGTGGCTAGGATTACAGGCTGCCCCCCCCCCCCCCCCCCCCGCTGCTACAATCACTTTCTAATGATGTCTTTGTCTTGCTTATTATCTCCATCCCCTGGCTTACAAACAATGCAGAGAATAAGTTACACCTGAAGGAAAGACTTGAGGACAAGCAAAGGAGCTGTAGCAATGATTAGCTGTCCAGTTAAATACATAGTGAGCCAGATAAACAATGAATACTGGGCCTAAGGCAAACAACTGCTAAGTTTGAAGTTAAAGTCCTGCCCGGGAGCTGTAAGCATAGTTGAGGAAGCCGCGCACGTGTGGCAACGGCAGGGGCTTTGGACATCACGACCACAGCTAGGGGTCACTGTCTTGGCCTCCCCTTTGCCTTCCAGGCTGGGCTCCACTACTAGAATTTATCTTGGCACCTGGGCTGGGACCGGGACAGAGCCAGGGGCCAAGTTTCAGCCACTAATTGGGCTAGGGGAGGTGCTGTGGCTGTCAGCTGCAGATGGACCTTCACGTGGGTGTATTGGACTCACCTCCCTTCTGGCTCGGGTGGCTGGGAGGGCGGGCGGCGAAGCCAGTTTCTCCGCAGCTCCAACAAGCCAACTTGTCCATTGCACAGAGGAGGACGCTTCTCGGCTTCGTCGGGCAGCCCCATTGTCCAGCCTTGGTCTGGCCACGCCCATTAAGGATTCCGCTCCGGGTGGAGGCGGGGCCGGGGGCGGGGCCGCGGCTCTTCCCCAGGCAGCCGCGGGGCGGGGGAAGCGGAGCGGGGAGGCGGGCTCAGGAAACGCTGGAGGTGGAGGCCCAATCCTGCTAGTCGGGCTGGCCTGGGCGGGAGGGGCTCGAGGACGCCCAGTGGCTCGGGCCCAGCGTGGGGTTCTCGGCTCCACCCGCGGGCTGTTCCCGTTTTCTTTCCCCTCAGGCCACGAGCTAGAGACTCCCATGCCGCCCGGGGTGAGGGGAGCGGAAGGCGGGAACTCCGGTGGTCCAGACCTCTCTGAGAGTCCGCTTCTCCGGCCTCGCCTGGGACTGGCGGCCGCCTGGAGGCCGGGGCTGAAGGGGCCACTTGCCTCCCGCCCACGGCCAGGTCCCCTTCTTCCGTTCCCAGGGGCAGGGGCCGGGATGGGGCGGCGGCGCCCGGGGACCGAAAGTCTCCGCCTGGCTCCCGCCCAGGGCCGGGCTGTCCGCGGCACTCGGCCCGTCCCCCTCTCCAGCCGCCAGCCCGAGAGCTTCGTCCCGCCGTGGAGTTGAGGGCGGAGGCGGGGCCGAGGGCGGAGGCGGGGCCGAGGGCGGAGGCGGGCCTGTCGCCTAGGGGAGCTCGCGGCCCATTTCCCCTGCCCCAGGGCCGCCTCGCCACCGCCTGCGGACCTGACCGCTGCGGCTCTCGGTTAGGACCCGGTTCCCGTCAGAGCCACGCGGTCGCCGAATCCAAGACCCTGGGTGGTGGGCCTGGCGAAGGCGGGGCCGCCGGAGCGCCCGCCCCCATGCGCCGCCCCGCCCTGCGAAGGTCTGGTTGGCTTGTTTTGCAGTCTGTACTTGGGTTCTAGCATTTCGAAAAGCCCAGGACCTCCTCCCGCCACGCCCATCCCCATGCTGAGAACTGTGTGAAGCTGGGATCAAGGACTTGGAGGTGCCTGGCAATCAGGGGGGGGGGGGATGCAGAGCTGGAGCATTTCCCAGGTCCACCTGAACTCGTAGTCAAGGCTGGTGCAGCAAACCATCCTGTATCAGAAAGACCGCTGAGCAGTTTTTACACCCTAGAGGTACTACTATGTATGTTTTAAAGTATTACAAATGGGGTTGTTGGCGTCAGTGAGTTACCATGTGTTATAGTTTCTTAATGCTGACAACTTAAGGTCAAAGTACTTTGGTTACAGAGAGCAGCACTTTCATTCTGGATAAAATATTTTATTCACTACATATCACTTCCTACAAATTAATACCTATTAGAAATAAGAAATCTGAGCGTTTTTGCATGGTTTTGTTTCACTTGAGTCGTTTCTTCTAAAATTCTGTGCAGAGATTACACTAAAGAAGACCAAAATATGAATGTACAAAGCTATGGAGTGGGGAGCCTTTGGTAAGCCATATTCATGTTCCATCATGCCTACAGTAATATACAGAAATCATTTTTCCACAGTACTTCTCCTATACTTTTTCTCTCCCAGGATTATGGAATGTGGGAGTGTGGAGATAAGACTAACCAGGGCATTCCAGAATTGAATGCAAGCTCTGTGGGAATGGCCAAGGTGACAATTCTGTTTTCCCTTCTGTATATTTTCATTGCTTTGCTTGGGTTCTCTTCATTAAGTTTGGCTTTCATCTGATTAGCACATTTCTCAAAAGTCAACAGTATGTGAAAATCACATGGCACATGGACTCCAGAGAATGGAAAATGTACATCTAGAAGGTGGGATTCCTGCTGGATGCTGGTGGCTTTTACCTGTAATCCTACCTATTCAAGAGGCTGAGGGCTGGGAAGTTGGTTCAGTGGTAGAGCGCTTGCCTCTCAGGCATGAAGCCCTGGGTTCAATTCCTCAGCACCACATAAGCAAAAAAAAAAAAAAAAAAAATCAAGAGGCTAAGATCTGAGGATCATAGTTCAAAAGCCAGCCTGGGAAAGGAAGCTTGTGAAACTTTTATCTCCAATTAATTTCTTTAAAAAAATTGGAAATACTGGGCTGGGAAAGTGGCTCAGTGGTAGAGCACTTGCCTTGCATGCATGAGGCCCTGGGTTCGATTCCTCAGCACCCCATAAGCAAAAAGAAAAAAGCCGGAAGTGGCGCTGTGGCTCAAGTAGTAGAACGCTAGCCTTGAGCTGAAGAGCTGAGGAACAGTGCCCAGGCCCAGAGTTCAGGCCCCATGACCTGACCCAAATAAAAATGGAAATAAAGTTGTGGCCCAAGTGGTAGAGGACTAGCAAGTTAGACTTGAGCAAAATAGCTCAGGAACAGCATCCTGGCTCTGAGTTCAGACCCCAAGAAAAGCATAAAAAGGGGAGGGGCGAGAGGGAGAGAAGAGAGATTCCTATATTGAAATGGGCTTGTGGAAGAAAATGTTTTCTCTCTTCTAGCTGTCCATTCTGTCACCATCAGTCTGACCTTTTACTGTTAAGAAGCTACAGGCTTGAAGTTGTCTTCCTTTCTGGGTTTTAGAGAGGGCTGAAGTGAGGAAAAGCAATTGAGCCTAGGATTTCAACACCAAATTGAGCAACATAGTAAGTTTCCCATCTCATAAAACAAAATATATCCAAAGGAAGAAGGGAGGGAAGAGACTACGAGGAGGGAGGAAAGAGAAAGAAGAGTAAAAGGGAAGAGAAAATAATTTTGTATGTATGCTGGGGTTTGAACTTAAGGACTAACCCCTTGTTTGGCTTGTGTTCTACCACTTGAGCCATGCCTCCAGCCCACCCTTTTGCTTGTGATTTTGAAGATGTAGTCCTGCAGATTTCCCTACCTGGTTTGTGTTAGAACCATGGTCCTCTGGATCACAACCTCCTAAGTAGGTAGGATGACAGGTGTGAGCCACTGCCTTCCAGCAAGAATATACTCTATAAAGTAAAACAATATACACCTATGAGGTCAATCCAAACAGTGGTTTGTATGCCTTAGACATTCAGCACTCCACCTTCCATCTCTCATTGTCAAGATGAAAATATATTTTTTGGACAGAATCAAGGATCTAGAGCCAGAATTCTTTTTACAAAACAATTTCATATCAATATGTCAGTTTATGAGTACAGTGTATCTTGGCAACTATCCTATCTATATATCTATATCTGTCTGTCTATGAAGGAAAACTGTTAGAAAATGTACTTTAAGATTCATTTTCTGGCCTGTAATCCCAGCTACTAAGGAGGATGAGATTTGAGGATTACAGTTCAAAGCCAGCCTAGGCAGGAAAGTCCATGAGACTCTTTATCTCCAATAAACCATGAGAAACTTGGAAGTGGTGCTGTGGCTCAAGTGGTAGAATGCTACCCTTGAGCTGGAGAGCTGAGGGACAGTGCCCAGGCCCAGAGTTCAAGCCCCACAACCTACAAAAATAAAAGATTCATTTTCTGGCCAGGCACCAGTGGATCATGCCTGTAAACCTAGCTACTCAGGAATCTGAGATCTGAGGATTACAGTTCAAAATCAGCACAGGCACACAGTCCGTGAAACTCTTACCTCCAATGAACTACCCTTAAAAAAAGAGCTACAAGGGGGACTGTGGCTCAGGTGGAAGAGCACTAGCCCTGAGCAAATGTAGTCCAGGGAGAGCACTCAGGCCATGAGTTCTAGCCCCAGGACTGGCAAAACGCACATGTGCGCGCACGCATGCACATGCACACACACACACACACACACACACACACACACACACACACACACACACACACACACACACACACACACACACACACACACACACAAATTCACTTTCTGATATGCCAGAGTGCTCATGGTAAAAGCTAACCTGTTGATGAAAGAAAAGCCAATCTTGAATTTAATGCACACATACATGATGCTATGTACCTGTTAGAATTTCATTGTTTTATTGGAATGTATGTTTATTAGTAATTCCTATCTATGTTTCTAGGCAGCACCTGAGACGGTTGATGAACTGGATCTTTTTGGAGCCCATGGTGGACACAGGTCAGTGATCCACGTCCTTCCCAATAAAATCAAACACTGCCAGGTAACAGTTTCAGAGAGTAGGGAAGGAGAATCCCCAGAGGAAAGGCCCAGGCTCCAGTTTAGAATCCCTACCTTCCTAGCTTGCTCTGCTGACTTTGCGTCAGATTTCTTATCAACAAATGAGCTTATTGTTTGTTCCCCTCCCCTGCTACCTTACAAGACAGTTAGGCTAGAGTGGATGAACCCAGACAATTTATTTAAGTGGTTTACAGCCAGAAAGTACTGTGCAGACATAAGACACAGTGCTGCTGTGTATATAAAGTTGGCAATCAAATCAACTTTATTTTGCTGGAGGCAAAATCTATTGCTTGTCCTTTCAACACTCAAGTGGTTTACTGAGGTTTATTTCATACTTCACAAAGCACTGAGTTGGGTAGGGCTTGATGAACAGAATGGGTAGTGAAAGGGAGAAGAGATGGGAGAAATGCACATTAATAGAACCTCCTTGAAGTACAGATTACAGAAAGGAATAACAGTTGGACACTAGGGGACTCCATTAAGCAGATACTAGTCCATCATCAAACTCTTCTCCAATGTAGGCTAGTGCTGCAGTCAGCCTCATACATAAAAACTTGTCAATGGAGAGTATCTGGTGGAAGCTTCTGTTTCCAGTCAGAAAGAGCTTAAGGGGAAGGACTATAGCCATGAATCTTATAATGACATTTGGTCAGTGAGGGACCAAATTATAGTAAGCTACACCTTTGTGTAAGTGTACTCTATGATGTTCATCTAATGATGAAATCACCTAATAGTGCATTTTCAAAATGTCTTCCTGGTATTTAGTGACTGTGGTTAAAGAACCAGGCCCATATACCAATAAGCAATAGAAAATAAAGTTTTACAACTCAGGTGTATCAGTGGAAAAATTTTATATGGCATATGCAAGTCCCTGAGTTTGAGTCCACAAACAAACAACAGCAACAGCAACAAAACTTTATTCTGAAGCTAAATTGTGCCACCTTTTTTGGGGGGGGGGGGAGGTCAGTCATGGGGCCTGAACTCTGGGCCTGGGTGCTGTCCCCTCAGCTCTTCAGCTCAAGGCAAGCGCTCTACCACTTGAACCACAGCGCCACTTCCGGCTATTTTTTTCCTGCTTATGTGGTGCTGAGGAATCGAACCCAGGGCCTCATGCATGCAAGGCAAGCGCTCTACCACTGAGCCACCTTCCCAGCCCCTGTGCCACTTATCTTTACTCCACCTTCTACTTCTCTGTATCTTCCCTCAGAAAAAATAGTCATTAATAGAGAATATGATATTTCTTGGGGTTTTGTTTAAGAAAGACATGGTAGTATGAATGTATCTTAACAAATGTGTCATTTAATGGAATATTGTGCACTTTCTGGCCAGCAGGATCTCAGAATCCACTGCATCAATTGCTGGCTACCTGCCCTTAGGCTCAGATCTCTATGACTCTAAGTCTCAGAGTCATTATGTGTAAATTGTACACATAATTCCTCATATGGAAGATGTAATTAGCTTATATTTGTTGGAATCTGGTCTCATGTCTGTACATGTTAGACCTCAGCATTGGCTCCTGTCCCTACCCAAATATTTCCTTATAATTCTAGCTGCCTTCCATGTTCACAATGCCTATTACAGCCACTTACTCTGGTGTCTTTAATGATTCTAGGGCTAGAATAATTTGATCCTCATTTTGCTAAAGCATTCATGAGGTTTTCTGAGTTTGACTCCTTTAAACATTTTTTCTGGGTCACTCAAATATACTAGGCCTATCTCACAGAAGCAACCATTTTTCATTGTTGGTCCTACATGCATGTTCTTTTCTAGGTTGTATCTTTATAGACAGAACATCTTAGCCTGCTGACATAGATGGTTCTGTAGTTTCTTCCCCAACACTTCCTAAAGATCCAGCCAACTGGAAGAGATGAATAGTTCTCAGCATCAGTTCCAGAATAACCCATGCTCTATCCAACCCCTCCATATTCTCCAACAGATAGGAAACATTGGTTTCCAGGTGCCATGTTTGTAGGACAAAGCTTTACTCCAAACTGGCAAACTCAGATGAATGTCCTCTTGGGGCTTTGGGGATGGTTCCTAGATAGCACATTTAACTACGGGTAATTCTATAGGTTAGGCCTCCTCTTTGCTTTTCATTTCATCTGTCTTGTTCTCCATGTTGCCAAGAGCATCAACATCTAAAGAGATTGACGCTGGACTTCTTTTTCCATTGTTTCTTTCCCAGCCTTTGCCATGGAAGATATGAACCTTGTGAGTTTGACCAGAAGTTGCCAAGATAGTATCACAGATGAAGTGTCATTTGGAGAATATTTTAACATAACTGCAGTTTTAGATTGTATAAAGCATATTTTCTTTGCTTTCAAAAATTACTGTATAGCATATATTATGTAAATGTGTATATTTATATATTTAAATGTAAGTAACCCATTTTAGAAACTCATTCCTTTGATGTACACTAGGTGACACTGTTGCTCTGGCTACCTCACATCCTAGTGGCCTGATTGTGGATGATGTATCCTTCCTCCATTTAATGCTGTCTTCATATGTTATAGGGTTGAAATCCCTTTCTTCTCAGATAGGTAGGAATCCAACTAGCCACAACCAATTTTATATCTGCATATTTAATGCCACAATACTACTCTCTGCTCAAGAAATTTTTACAAGATTTAATAAATCCTCGCTGGTCTAATGAAGCAAATCAATTCATATACTAGAGGAAAAAAATCAGACCTTGCAGTTGTTGTAAATAACTGGAAATTATTCAATCACAAATCAACTATTCATGGATTTTAGAGGACAAAACAGGCTTCGGGGATTGCTGTAAATAACTCCAAATTATTCAATCAAATATCAACTATTCATGGCTTTACTAATCAAATCTGAACCATGTCCAACCATGCAAAATGTACTTGTGTTAAACATTTGCAAAACAGAAAAAAGTCTGGCAAATATGAAAATATCCCCAAAGTTAATTTTCACCTGAAGGAAACACTGTTATTTTAAGAAGAGAGAGCAGTACAACATAGGCAGGGCCCAATTCTGAATTCTAGGTAGCATTTTTTCTGTAAAATACACATGAACTGTAACATGGGTTCATTCCAGATCTAGCTGTGCCAAATGCAATATGTGCCATGACAGGTTGCACATTTGCTCACTGCTCACTTTTGCATAAACAACATGTATATATACTATGCCGTGTGAACTGAACATGTGATCTACATTTTTTTTTTTGGTTGCTCAAGGGGCTTGAACTCTGGGCCTAGATACTGTTCTTGAACTCTACAGCTCAAAGCAAGTGTTCTGCCACTTGAACCACAGTGCCGCTTCCGGTTTTCTGGTGGTTAACTGGAGATAACAGTCTCTCGGACTTTTCTGCCAGAGCTGGCTTTGAGCCACAATCCTCACATCTCAGCCTCCTGAGGAGCTAGGATTACAGGCCTGGGCCACTGGTGCCCAGCTCAAATTTTATATTTGTTTCTTTTTTCTTTTTTGTTGATTATGGGGCTTGAACTCTGGCGTAAGCACTATCCCTCAGCTCTTCAGCTCAAGGCTAGTGGTCAACCACTTGAGTCACAGTGCCACTTTCAAGTTTTCTGTTTATGTGGTGCCAAGGAATTGAACTAGGGCTTCATGTATATGAGACAAGTACTCTTACCACTGAGCCACCTTTCCAGCCCCTAGATTTTTATATGAAGAAGTTCTTATGTCAGTTTAACAATTGTGGGAAGTGAATACGGATGTAAATAAGAATTATTTACCTAAGATTTCTTTAGGTATTTTGATATGCTTTTAAGCCTTTAAATTTGGAGTTACACATTGAGAAGTACCTAATATTTGAAAACAAAGAACTCAATGATGTCGGTTACTTCTGACATGGAGGCCAAAGGGCAAGTATTGACCCGGCAAGAGCTTGGCTCCAGTGAGCACTTGAGGCCTGGTCTCCATGCTTGGCTTGGATCTCTGCGCTGCCTCTAGGTCATGGGCAGCCTGCAGCTGTGCTTCCCTGGTGGAGGCCAAAGGAGTCCAGCCTCAGGCAGGGAGGTGGGAAGATGGTCCCTTTCTCTCCCAGCAGCAGAGGCTGTCCCAGAGGAGTCACCAAGCACGGGGCCCAATGTGAGGATGAAGCCCTGGGCCCAAAACAGGAAGCGAAAATGAAACTGGAAAACATTGGTGGAAAGGCCAGAAATCTCAAGATTGCACCAATAAGCAGATTCTTTGGCTTGATTTTTTTTTCCTTCTCTACCTTTCCTGGTCATTTCCTCTAGTATTATATGTGGCATTCTCTGTTGCACTCATCCTACAAGAAGGATCATGTCACTCACTGCTTTATGGAACTGCCAGAGTAAACAGCGGACACTCTGTGTCCACTTCCCCAGGCTGTGAGCCCGAGGCTCACCTGCTCTGAGGCTGGCATATCTCTCGAAGCTCTCCTGCAGGCTACTTGCCTCACTTGAAATGAATACACAAAGTGCTAGGCCAGGGTCCTGGGAGGAGCAGCCCTCAGGGTGACAGCTGCCCCCATGAGCACTCAACGCAAGCCAGCATGCTCTCAGCAGTTTCTGAGCCCCTTCACCAGGTGAATGCCCACACAGAACTTCCTGGAGGAAGGTTGGCTGAGTCCCCATCAGGTACAGGTAGGTGGGCAGCAGTTGGTGCTAGTATAAGCCCAGCCAGCCTCAGGGTGGGGTACTGTCATAGCCAGTGTTAATTGGGAGTTGTTGTACAATGGTCTGACCTCAGTGACTACACCTGTCCCTGCCTGGTCTGAGCCCTCTAAGCTCAGTGTCCAGAGGCCAGTACTCTATTGAGGGTGGGCTGACAGGGGGGAGTTAAGTAACACACCAGAGCATGGGAGATTAATCTAGCAGGTGGCACACAATGTGGAATCAAGGAGCCATGTTCCTTCTGGGTAAGGGGCACCTGGTCATTTGGATGAGTGCTCTGTGCCAGCTTTCATGCTGGAAGCAGTTCCAAAAGGATGCTTGCCAGGTAACCCTTGAGGTTTCTGAAAGGCCATGTGTTACCTGTCTTGCAGAGGAAAGGAACAGCTCCCCATGCTCACACATCAGACTCTGGAGGACATCACATCGACCGGGGGGAACAGCAGGAGCAGTGGCTGCACAGGAGAAGGCTGGATGGCGCCATCAACAGGGTCCTGGTAGGATAATACCAGAAGGTGTGGAAGATCCTGCAGAAGGTACGCTGGGTGCTAGGATGGTTTGGTGCTTTGGGTCCAGGGACAGAAATCAGACCCCCTGTCCCCGCCTCTGCCTACCTGTGTGAGGCTCAGTATGAAATACCAGGTAGCAGGTAGCAGATGGCTGCAGAACAAACAAACACAGCATCCAACCATAAGTAGCTCAGGTGAAGAACAGAGTTTCTCCACCTGGTCAGGACTGACATCGCTGGCTGAGTTTTTTTTCCATGCACTAAAATATGTATACCATACTTCACACACCCAAACACAGGAGAACATGGCTGAAACCAACTTCCAAAATGATAATAGCATGAGAAAACAGACCCATCTCTTCTCTGTACCCTACAATCTGTCTCCTCCCACAATTGCTCCTGGTTATTCATACAGCTCTGGGGCCCCACTGAGCTTGTGCTGCCTCTACCATGCAGCACCAGTATGCTCCATTTAAAATTGTCTATGCAAATCAAGACTATTTTTCTAATGTCTTTTTAGCTCGTTTCACAGTAGGAAAGAAGAAAATATTCCCAAATGAGAATGTACTCGAGCCCCTCTGTACAGCAACATTACCATTTCATATGTATTCTTTTGGCCTTAGGGGCTCCTGGCAAGGCTCTAGATGGTGGGATTAAACAACTGAGGTCTTCCTCAGGGTGTCCACTGTTACCCACTGGTGCCTTTGCAGTGGAGCCCTTTGAATCTATAGAGGTCCATGGTCTATCACTCTCCCTATTTATTCAGGAGCCTGGAATGGGGGGAAGGCAGCACAGTTGCTTCCAGCTGGGGCGTGGGGAGGTGAAAATTGGCCAATTACACTAGGCCTAGCTATTCCTAGAAAATCTCCCCGCTCTTCCTGGGGTAGCACACACTTCCGTTCAGACTCCCACTGACACGAACCAAGACACTTGTATGATGAGAAAGCAGCATGTTGTATGGAGCCCACTTGGTATTTATACACACGGGTGAGCTTGTCTGTGCATGTGCTCCAGTCCTTTGTGATTGGAGCTTATTATAGAATCTCGAAAATAGCCGCCTGCACAAGCACAGACGCATCACTTCACCAGCAGGAGCACAAAATCGTCCATCATGGCACTGAAGGGGGCCTGGCAGGTACCGGAGCCCAGATGCCAAGTCAAGGCAGAATCTCCAGGGAGCAGGACATAGCAGGCAGCACCCAAGGGCATTGCTCTCCCATGATCTGAAAGATGCCTGCCCTAGAATTCTTCCATGCAAAACACAAGCCCGTGGGCAGTGGGAACACTGCTCTAAAGATAACTCTGGCAGTCTGGCGTATTCCAACCCTCGTGCAGACTGTGGGGCAGGGAAAGCTGTGTGCGCCTGCTCATGAGTGCGTGTGAGCATGTGTGGGAACAGACTCCTGACTGACTTGTGTCTTCTACCTCTAGTGCCACGGCCTCTCCATCGACGGCTATGTCCTGCCGTCCTCCACCACCTGAGAGGTAGGATGAGCAAACCCCGAATGCCAGCACATCTGTGTTCACTCTGTGGACTCTGACCACTCATGGCCTCCTGTCGAGAGCCCTGCAGGGAGTCTATCTGCATGATAGGCTTGACTATCTCACTGGAACATCAGAAGGCTGTTCACAGAATCTGGTCTTTTCATCCTGCCCCTTACAAATACCGGTAGCTGCTAACAACCACCTTTTCACCCCCCAGTAGCTGCTAACGACCACCTTTTCACCCCGCCCTAAATCTACTAACGACCACCTTTGCACCAAGCCCTAAGTCCAAGCATATAAATACCCTTGTGTGAAAAATAAAAATTGGCAGCTTGATCAGAATCCTTGTCTTGCTGTCCTTCTTCGTGTCTCTTGTCCCTTCATTCCTTCTCGCTTAGGTTCATTGCCCTGGTTGAAGTCCTGCGGGTCGGGACAGCCTCCTCAGCTTGTTCTGTATGGACAGTCCATTTGAAGGGCTGGGCTTTTTAGCCAACTCTCCCTCACTGTGCCTGTTTCCTTTTCATCGTCTTCCTTGCTCTCATTTCCCTTAAAATATACCCAGATTCCTCAGCTTCAAACTATGCTATTTCATGTGATGCTTTCTTCCTTAGCCTCTCATTGTATTGGTATTAACATGGCTGCCTCCTTGGATGGTAATTGTCTGTTGGCAAGATGGATAAAATTGCTCATAGTTAACTTTGGCTTGTGGAGTTGGAGGATTATATTTTGGATTCTCAGCAATAAGAAAGGCTTCTCTAACTTACGGACAGCCCAGATCTTCTAGAATCTAGTAAAAAAATGAGCAAGGTTGAACATTTGACTTTTCTCTTAGGCAGGTGAACTGTGGCTTTCAGATTGGAGAAAAAGAGAAGTCCCCTGGGAAGGCCTGAGGCCCCTCTCCAGCTCCATGCTCTGGGGCAGCATCACTTGGTGAGTCAGGAGATGACTCAGAAGAGTCTGTAGATGTCATGGAAATTAGTGGTGTGCACCTACAAAAACAATGCTTCCCTCTCAAAAACAGAACGAGCCTGGGAACTTGAACCCATTTTACAGAGCATGCTCAGGCACTGATCATAAAGAAGCATGAGGCATGAGAAGGTCTGGGGCTTTTGTGAATGCCTTGATGAATGGAGTTTCTCTCCAGGTATTTTCCTCACGTGGCAGGGAAGGAACAACAGGAAAAGCAGTTTTTATAAATAATAAACTTTGACCTGGTGGCCAAATGTAGCCAAATGCTATATCTTTCTCACATTTCTGATCCTCTGGCAGCCTCGCTTCAAACTAAACCAGATATTTTGGAGTTGTGTCGAGGATAGGCTGGTCTGGGCCAGCAGGCGTCACTCATGTGGGACTCCATTGTCTTTCCTTCCATTTCTTACAAAGCACAAAGATCTCATTCCTGAGGTACAGAATAGAAATGTATTCACAAAACCCACAGTCTCTTAACTTTAGTACAGAATACAAATGCATTTACAAAACCCACAGTGTCTTAGTTTTAGCCAGAGTGGACTTAGAATTCATTGTACTTGGGACAGATCCCAGAGACTGTGAGCAGGTGTCTCCACAGCCACAGGCCTGGCTCACACCTTCCCCAGGCACCAGTCTGTCATGTGCCTGGACCTGCCCATTTGCTCCTTGCCCATGTGGGAAAGGAAGAGACACGCAGTCAGGCAGTAGCAGCCATGGGTCCAACACAACTGACCCTGTGTTTGCTGTCACGTTCCTGAGCCCCATGGGTCATAGCCTGCCATGTTTCCTACTGTTGTTCTGAGGTCTTCTTTTGAACTGTCCTTAAGACATTCAGGGAATCATCTAGTTGAATCCACAGATTCCCTAGTGGATCACAGAAACGCAGGTGGTTAAGAAAGGTACAAGTCCCTAAAGTGTTGGTGCTTGGGAGAAGTTGCAGAGTGGTTAGAGCACTCCAAACCAAGCCCAGTGCTAACTCAGAACATTTCCTGCCTGTTGATGACGAGAGAAGCCACAGCTGCTGTGTTTGGGCTCACCCAGTGAGATGCTGACAGTGAGAGG